TCAATTAATAGATTGATTATGCTCAAGGATAACTTATCGATTGTGTACGTTTCTTGTATTTTTTTTTTTTTTTTTTCAAAATTGAAGGACATATCGAATTTGTAATCTCTCGTGATACATTCGAAGAAGGAATATTCCAAACGAGGGAAGCAAATTACAAAGAATGGGAGTAGTCTACAAAAATTCAAATGAAATTCACATATATGGGTGTTAAGAACAAGTGCGAATACACGGGGTGTTCCGTACGAAGCGTTACAAGCGTTTCTCTCAGAAACTAATGAAATCATCGGCTACACTTTTCCTACAGTTAAAGAGTACAGGCGGCCTTTAAATTTTTGTTTAACGGAAGGTGGTATTAATTTTCTGTTATTTGGATGGCTCTGAGAAAACTGAGTAACGTATACTTGAACCGTTTTCTGTTCTCCGTATTTTATTATTATGTTACGGAACGAGGGGAGGGAGAGCTGCGGATCTCTCCTTACTGAGGATCGGTTGAAAACTGGTATTATTACTTGGATAGTTGGCGCGTGGAAGGTCGACACCTCTACCCGCACGCATCTTCGATATTGGCCAGGTAAAAATATGAATTTTCGGTTTGCCTAAGCCAGTACCGAAGATCCAGCAAGTAACAATACGGCAGCGGGATAACGAGGTCCACTCCACCAAAAGCGTGTAAAGTTGATAGTAGTGGATGTAAATACGGTGGGTGTAGAATGTATTCGTACACCGATCAATTTCCCAAAAAACTTTTCTGAGAAATTGTAGTTTCTTAACTTCTTTTTTTATAATCAATGATATTTTACATATTCTCGGAAGTCTCTGAGATAGATAATAGTCGAAACAACATTTGCTAGTTAATGTAATTTGTGAAATGAACAAAAAAAAAAAAAAAAAAATGCGAAAAGTGGGTAAAAGTATAGAAGCGATAAGTATTTATACGATTCTTATGACGAACCATTTACAGTAGAGTTTGTAACGTAAACACATTAGTTTATTGCTCCGTGCGAATTAGAAAACATCATATTTCCAGCGAAGTACTTTTAAACAGTTGTGCGAATATTTATTGCCTCGACATTTCTATCGATTAATTGTTTTTTTCTTGTTAATTTCGCAACTTACATAAATAGCTATTTTTTTTTTTGTAATCTATCTATTTTAGAGATTTCCGAGAATATGTAAAATGTCATCGTTTCTCAAAAATAAGTTAATAAATTACAATTTTATATAATATCTTTGGAAAATGATCGGTGTACGAATACTTTCTACACCCACTGTAGCTTTGTACCTAAGTTATGTGCCACAGAGGTGTACCCACAGATATCTATGCTATATCTAGATTGCTAAAAAGTGGCAGTGAGAAGCATGTACAATAAGGGAGTGAATTTTCTCGCTCATGCGTCAAATAGGTTCTCCTCGTGTAGATGAGAGGGACCTCAACCTTCCATTTTTCGTTTAAGTTTGGTTTTTAATTCTTTTTAGGATTCATTTATAAAAACAAAACGATACTGTATAGTATAGAGTACAGTTCCATAGTCAGGTCACGGATATCTGTATAATATAGATAACTGCGTGTCAAATAGTATGAGAAGGGCTTCCCCGAAGTTTCCGTTCAGCAGACTTTTGTCGCCATAATTCCGTAACTGTGCATAATTTTAAAAAACGGTTCGAGCAATTGCCATTTAGTTTTATAAGAGCTATTCGAATAACAAAAAATTAATACAGCCTTCCACACAAAAAAATTGAGAGGATCTTCCACATCTTTCTAACACTCCCTGAAATTAACCCTCTGTACTATTTAACCGCGTGAAAAATGAAGTCGATGTCCTCGTTGATTTCTGAGAAAAGGGCTTGGAAGATTTTACACAGGATACACCCTGTATATAGTTTCAATGTACGTTGACTACGCATTCCAAATATTCATAGGTGTACCTAGTATGAATGTACAGATGCTATTATACATACAAGCATCTTCTAGTAACGAACAAGGCATGTAGGGTACAAGCTGTATGTCCATATGCACCGATGAAATATCACATTACAAAGGGATATCGTTGTATGATACAGTACAAGGAAATACATTTTAATATTTTCTCACTTTTGTATAAAAAGAATATATACCACGCTTCTCATCGGCTTGCTGTTTAAATTCTGTACACGCAATCTATTGCGATCGGACCTCAAAAGTGGGCACAGTGATACACGTAGACGTAAACGTATTAATTCTGCACCTTATTACAACACTTCTCCAATTTAATATTTACAAAATCTCCAATCTACACTTTCCGAAACTTCAGTTTCTGGATGTTGGACTTTAACGCCATAGAAAGTGTAGGCACCCTCTGAGTACAACATGAAAATCCATTTAAATAGCGTACTTAACAATAATGAGTCTGCACTCTTCTGAAAAATTCTCTGAACATTTCCTAATTTCCTACGTCTTTTCTTTTCTTTTTCTTTTTTTTTCTTTTTTTTAATTCTTCGAAATGTTATTTCGTGCTGACACAGAATTGATCGGCGTTTAAACAAACGGTGTTCGTAAAAGTGATTGACTGACTCTTATATTAGACTCTACATTTACCACCAATAAGAAAAATCGAGTAACGTATTCCACATAACCTTCGTCGAGTTAGTCTAATTGATAAATTCTTTTTCCTTTCATTGTTCCAGGTTCGCTACATAACGCCGTTGTGCTACGTATTACTGAAAATCCATAACGTTTTGAAGTAACGAACGTATGTATACTTTTCGTCCATCTATCGTGGAAAGATGTCCTCAACATCCTTTCATTTTAACATTTTCCCTTAACGCGTTTCGAACGACAACGCGATCAACGAGTAATTATTTATCATAACATACGGAAATTTTATAAATTACCAAGTGATTTTGATGATTTACGTTATGAAAAACTTTTAAAATGTTGTTCTGATTCGTTTTATGCTCCGTTGGTCTCGCTATGGAACAAATTTGGTTTAATCGTTACTATTATTACACTTTATGAAACGTAAATGTTGTACACAGAAGTTTAGAAACCTGTGTCATTGTTATTCATGGAAAAGATGAGAATGAGAAAAGAGAATGCGAAAGAAATGCGATTCGTCTCGAAGACTAATCGTTGGATCCGAATGAATATTCATTTGTACAATTCTGTACTTAATAGTCATATTTTGTCACTCATTTAAAAGAAAAAAAAAAAAAGGAAGAAAAAAATTAGATGGCACATGCTCCGCGGAAACAGGGAAGAGCTCTAATATCTTAAACCATGTAGGTACAGTGGCACATAAGAAAAAACAGGTAACGATATTCCTACGTGGTAAAATGGTTAATATCAGTCATGCAAAAGTTCTATGAATTATTCTAATCAATAAAAATAAAAGCTTCGGGGTTTAGCACTGCGGTTGGCTATAGTATTGCAAGCTCCTGTATCTCGTGTCTATTCTCAGATTTATGTGAGTTGTGAATAATATTCGATAAAGAATATCGTTCATTTTTAAACGTATACAATTTTGATCGATTGTCGTGTTTATTTTTTTTGTTCGTATTTACGAAATGCACGAGGTTGTATTACGTACAGTGTTGGTCTAACCAAGTATACGATAGAATAATTCCATGTCAAATTGAACACTTTTTAGAGTAACATGTTTTATTCGGCTGAAAGTTGAATACGTTGGAGTCGTAGACTTTTCACATGGTTTGTTAAACAAAAATTAAGATATTTAAATTGCTTCTGCTACTAGAAAATGACAATTTTTTTAACCAACTGCAAGACAATTGGTTTCGTAACAAATTCTTATTTTGTGGTCGAATGTATCCAAGTATCTAGTATAAACACAAATTTGTTTAAAAAAAAAAAAAAAAAAAAAATTTCCACGACTTCTCAGATAACTGGGAATAAAATCAACAATTTTCAAACTCTATAAAAATCCTTCACGATACGTTCACGTGTCGCTGACGGCTACAGCATATCGCATTTCAGCTGATTCTACCACGTCGCTCTAAAACGTATTATGTGCGAGAGAACTTGGGGGATAAAAAAAAATGTATGATACGTGAAGCAAGTTTGTGAGCGCGATAAATCATTATACAATGTACCTTAGAAAGCAAGATTAATTATGTTTCACATAAACCTTTGATACCGATGATATCTTACTGCGCAAGCTTAGATTATTAGACACTGTCAGTTGATATTACCTCTAGAAGTTAATTTACATGAATCTACGAGCATCCTAGGCAATCTCTTTTTAAATCAAGAAAAATTGAAGCACAGTCGAAATGTAGCCGAGCTTTTACTATAATTAATCTAAGATATTTGAGGCTTTCACAGCCCGATTCTTTATGGTTAATATTAACCGAGGTTTCTGGGTGTAAATCGTTTCTTTCTGCTAAAATACTTTGATATTTCGCCAATACAAGAGATAGCTTTTTCAGGGATTAAAAGACACATTGATATTGTACGTTGTATAATTTTGGTTTTTTGTAAGGTACTCGTGCTCGTGTCATGGCTCCTTGACTAGCAATCATTAAGCTCATGGCACGATCGATCATGGCTTTACAACGTACCTAAAATATTCTCAAAGTTAAACGAAAAATTAGGTAAATTTTTTCTGTGAAAAAGAAAATTACGAAGTACACCCAATGTGTCATTTGACCCCTAAAGAAGCTAGCAATGCTGGCAAAGGTATCGAAGTATGTCATCCAAAGGACACAGTTTACGTACAAAAGCCGCAATCAATATCAACCATAATTAATCTATATTTCGTAAAACAAGTACACGTTCTCATCGACACAGAGGCATCACTTTTCCACGTAATGAGCCAATCTCTACGCAATGACGTTTGCGATTAGAAGAAAACTGGTTAATACACCATCATATTACTCACACGGACTCGCACGCATACATATACTCGTATTCGTATGTTACATTAAACTCTCTAACACGTATCACGTATCTAAATGCACACGGACAACACAGACTCTCCTCTACTCTAATTTTGAACACTTACTGAATCTTCTTATCAGATTGCAGGTGAAGGATTCGGGGGCCGTGTTCTCTTCGCACCTTAGGTCACAAACCGTTGGATCGTTTTTCGCAAACTTTAAATTTGGCACCGACAACAAACGACCCTCTCTTTTCACTTGTTTCATCTTCACAATTTTCTTCAGCCGTGGCGGTTTCAATTCGTTCTCGGACAGGGTTAAATTAACGGGTCGCACAGCATCCGATTTTCCGATCACGTTGTCGTTATGGGATCGTAACTGTTTATTAACGTCTCCTTCGATCATCGGGCTCTTTACATCCTGACTATGCCTTTTCTTATCATCGTTCAATGGACTTTCACGGCCTGATATCGAACCTTCGGACGACAGCGAAGACTCGTCTTCGACACTTTCGACTGGAGATAACGAATTCGCGGATTCGTTGACATTACAGTAAAATACGGAAGCTTTCTGACCGCTACTATCAGTGCCTACCTGTTAACAATGGGGTACTTGTACAGACTTTTCATTTCAGAGATTTAAGGTCACTTTTGCGATATAGAAAGCTCAAATGTTCAAAACTCAAAGCGATCGATCAGGATTAAACGTACACGTAATTCCACGGATTGATTTCGCCGAGCTGCGGCAGTTAAACGAAACAAAACGAAGCATAAAGCAGATTGTTGTGGCCAGAAATGAGTTTAGCTTAATTAACGTAACGTTAAAACAGAATTTAATTGAATTATTTATAGAAGAGAAAGCGTGTAACTGGATCACAAACTAATTCAAGAATAATTATTACAAAATTACCCTGCAAGCATGTGTACTGTTCAGAAGCAACGAATTAATTTTTTTGTTTGTTTTTATTAAATCAAATCGAATAATAGATCAACTGTAGAATACGAAACAATCAAGAAAATGTGTACGAATGACTTCATGGTTATATACTTTTTGAACCGTAGTCACTTTTGTATTTTCAAGATTCATTTTCTATATGCGAATGTTGTGTACGATGTTACATGCTACTGTTTAGTTGTTTGTTATTTATCGTCAGTGGCAACAGTAACAAGTTAGTTACAATCGCTCACGTGCTCTCGTTTGAAAGAGTCCTAAAACATTTCACTAACAGTTACGCACAACTTGGACTATTTAGACTCTTTCAGGCATCTTTCAAGCATCAATACATGTACTAGCTTGTACAGTGTTCAAGACAATTAAGCGATCTAACACGTGAAGAACAAACCAAGCATAAGTAACAAGAGAAATACTACGTATTGAATACATGTTATACAGAGTGTTCCGTCGAACTTGAGTGTGTTGAATGCAATAATATCCTTCAGGTTGAGACGAAGTTATCCCTGCTACTTCACGGATGTGCGAGTTCCGCTCGTACAAATATTAGGTTGTCCCAAAAAGTTTCTTTCCCTTTATTAATAAGTAATACACGCGCAATAGTTTATGTCTTATGTTACATTACTGAATTGTGCACGATTCATTTTGTTCCATTACTGTTACAACATGAATATCTATGAAATTAGATTGTCTATTTATATAAACACGACCACATCAAATAATTTAGTGCAACTCGCGAAAGAAAAGCTATTATTTTCCACCGAGTCTCAACTTGATGGACATTGCTATATGTCGCTTATCTCTGATGATAGATCAATATGTTTGAAATTAAAGAAAATTAAACGTTTTCGTACGGTAATTTTGTTCTATTATCATAAATAAACGAGATATTTAAGGTATTCAAGCTAGACAAGAATACTCTGTATACAAAGTTTCTCCGAATAATTTATGTTGCTCATTTTGTTCACCTTGAACTACATCTTACATCAAACAAACCAATACTAGAATATGAAAAGATACAACATTGAAATAATACCGTCTCAAAAATATATTTATACGAATTTCCTATAGTGTATGTAGCACTGCAACTCTAATTACTATGTTTCTATTTATTTACTTTAAAAGTACTAACCGATCAAGGCATTTATGTCGAAAGGATCTATCCATAAAATAATCCTTTTCGCTAAATAAATTAAAATGTAAAGATGTTGTATCGAAAAGGAAACTGAAATGAAACACAAGAAAAAAGAAATCTAACAATGCTAGCTATTGTGCAAGTGGCAGTATCTTACGTTTCAGTCTAAAATTTATATCTTATTTATATCGACAAAGTATTAATGTTTAATATACACCTTGTAGAACTAGTACGATATATTCTTTATCCTGAATCCACATGTAAAGAGTTAGAAAATCCCCTTAATAATTGTTTTTCTTTTCTTGCATACATTTTTCAAAAACCTTCTTTTTTTTTTATTGTGCTGTCGATGCTTTAAGAAGTCAAATTGGCGCCAATTGTTTGTGTATAAAGAGTAAAATGTGTCATTTCAAACGAAAATTGTTGCGATATATTTAAAATTGGAGTTATAACAATAACTGATAGGGGAAACAAGTGTCACCTTGTATGTGTAAAATGCAAACAAAATTGATGAGATATCACACGTTCCTTTGTATTGTTATTTTTCTTTTAACCTGAATTATTAATACAGAAGCAAAGAATGTTTAAAGAAAGCACGATAGAAATTTAATATGCTTGCCGTCCAAGTCCCTCAAAATCACGCCAGGTATATAGGAACATTTAACTTTTGTTTTTGATACAAATAAGATATTTCTAATAATAAGATAAAAAGCATACAAGTACCCCATTTTGAGACGTCACCAATGTTGGCGTGAAAGTACTCTTTATTTTCAGATCAACCTTGCTAAGTTGCCTCTTCAGGTTAAATCCTTTCCAGCCGTGGTTTTTTGCGGAATCTTCTTCGTCCACTGCATTTCCAGGCTTAGGATTTTCGCTCACGGATTCCTCCGCGGTTCCTTTTTCGCTATTGTTTCCAGCATGGAATTCATCGCGAACTGGACATTGTTGAGAATTGTCGGCTACCATTGTTAATAAGGCTTCGGATGCCACAGTAGAGTCTCGATGAGTCTGATGAATTTAACATGTTGGATTTTTTACAATAAATCAATGCATACAAAATAGCAAAAGATTTAATTCTAATTCTAAAAGCAAATTATTTCACATGTTATATGCATACAATACACAGTATGTACTTTGGTACTGTTAGTAACGCTTACTGTTAGTACACCCCTCAAATGTTACGATACCTAGAAAATATAATCTGACGAATCTTGTAAATTTCAGTGTATATTATAATAGCAAAAGATTTTACTCTAATTCTAAAAGCTGATAATTCACATATTACGTGCGTACAGGACGCAGCATTATTGCATGTACTTTAGTACTGTTAGTAACGCTTACTGTTAGCATAGCCCACAAATATTTTGATACCCAGATAATAGAATCTAATTTAATACTATAAATTTAAATATATATTGTAACAGCAAAAGCTTTAATTCTAATTCATAAAGCAGACAGTTTCACATGTTATATGCATACAGTATAGAGCATTATTGCATGTACTTTGGTACTGTTAATAATGCTTACTGTTAGTAAACCCCACAAATATTGCGATGACCAGGAGATATAATCTAATGTAATCCTGTAAATTTAAATATATATTATAATGGCAGAAGATTTAATTCTAATTCAAGAAGCAGATAATTCCACATGTTATATGCATACAGCACATAGCATTATTGCATATACTTTGGTACTGTTGGTAACACTTATTATTAGTAGACCCCACAAATATTTTGATGCCCAGAAAATATAATCTAATGTTATCTTATACATTTAAATGTATATTATGCTACATTAAATATGAAGCATTAACACATATTTGATTACAAATACGAATAATCGACTTATAAAAATAGTACCGAGATCAATTTTCAAACGGATTGATATCGCAAACGTATGGTCACTTGTCACTTCCCAAATAGGTACACATATATTTACAAACGTGGAACCGAAGAGTGCAGACAAGGGAAGACGAGTCTAAATATTTCACACAACTCAGATCAATTGTTAGAGTTAACAGCAATACAAATCGTACCTAAGATGCTCATAGAAACAATACCCTGATACATTCAATACCCTTTTAAGATCATAAATGTATATTTAACATTTACTGCTTCTTCAGAAATTCAAGTTAACACAGGATATTTTTACATTTAAAATTTGCATTATCAAATTCCAAGGACTATAATATTACACCTGCTTTGTTTATTTTCTATGAATGAGCAATAAATTAAAATGTATCTTCAAGTGAAGATAAAAGTATTCAAATTGATCGAAACATTTAAGAGGCAAATTTCAGCTTTTTAATCTTGAATTCTGAATAAGCACGTGATATAACAATATGGGCTGTAGAGGGTGTCTACAGATTTCCTAATACTAACACGATACTTAAAATATAATACTTATTCGACGACTTATTAATATTACGAAGAAATTAGTATTAATGATGTAGATTGTGTTCTACATTATGATTTTTCATTTTTGCACAAATTTTTATGTTTATGTATACCATACTTAAAAATGCTTAATACCTTTAAATAAAAGCACCAGAATAGACGAATTAGACAGAATCCGCAAAAGTTGTCTGGCCTTTCTGTATACGTAAATCATTACTGACTTAAATAAGAGAATTGACCTTTTTTGTGAAATGCATTTACCAAATGTCCATGATACTTCAGGAAATTAGCAGAACAGGATAGGTCTTCGCAGCTGTTACTAGCATATACCGTTTCAAGAACAATATATTACTTTTTATCACAAAATACATGGGAACAGTGATATGTTAAAATATATATTCAACATGAAGTGTCATAAGTAGCATAGTTACAAGCGAGCATACTGGGACATTCTAAAGAATTCTTAGTTAAATATATTTTAAATATTATTTAACAATTGAAAAAAATATAACGTAATTTTAGAATTCTATAGAATGAGTAGCCTAATTACTATGCTCATGTATGTATATATATATATGTATTTAAAATCACCTGCTATGACTGTCATGACCTGATTAATGTTGTCATTTACTGAGGTAATAAACATACGTAGCTGAAACATTTCACAAGTCGTTGTTACAAGTGTACATTTATTTGTAACATGCTTGTTACCGTGATGTTGTGTAATTATATCATACCTTATTACTTTGTTTACTATGTAATTATAAAATAAAATACGGTTATCACAATTTGTTGATAAACTAAAGTAACATATTAGATCTATACTACCTATGATAATTTCTAAATACACTTCCATTTTCTCATATTTCCAACAAAAGACGAAAGAAGCTATATCGTATTTAACAAATTGGTGTATGCGTATGATTATTATGTGCAATAATAAATTATCTGTATGTTGGCAATATAAATACTACGTATATTATTAGTCTACTATTAAACTATATGTTATAGTTGAGTAACTCTTTAATACTGCATCATCGAATCAAGGGCAGATTCGGAAATATTCATACTCATACTAACATAATTCCCAATTACGTTCAGTGAAATATTTTCTGTATAGTATAGTTATTATATTCTTTGTTCGTATATCTATTATGGCAATAAAGTTTTATTAATACTGAATCGTGGTAAATAGTTTTCTGTGTAAGTGAAGTATACAAATTCAAATAATAAAAATATGAACATATTTGAAATATTTTAGTCGACGTTACTACTCTCAAACTGAATTTTTAGAAAATGGAAAAAATGAGACTAAGCTCGCATATTCTCGAGCTGTAGTTTGTTTTGCATCAACGATCTTATTCATATGTATCGCAATATAAATGTATGTCACACATGTGTACAAGCATGCTGTAACAGAAACTGTTATACGTAATATAATATCTTTGTAGTTGCAAACGTGTGAATACAAGGCATACGTGTACTTAAAATTCGAATTCTGTAGCATTGGCACAGCGAACGCATAAATCATTGTACTGAATATATATACATATGTATATATATATATGTATTGTTATTAATTATATTCACAATGTGACGTAATAGTAAATGTATATTTATTTTCAGTTTTAATCGGCTTGTAGATATTGTAGTATTATATGGATATGGTTCAAGTTTCATGCATGCAAAGATTCCATCAAATGTTTATGTGAAAATGGTCACATGTAAATCTTACTGGGTTCTTAGGCAGTATACAATCGTAACGGCAGTCATTTTCTAACACTTCGATCTACATTTTGAATTTGTTACTTGTTCGTTCTTTGTTTCTACATGTTCAACATTGATCGACAATCTAAATATGAGTCAAAGTTAATAATAAAACTGAAATACAATCTACTACTTACTACCTAATTTCATCGAGTTTGTTTATTTTTTCAACAAAGAAATATTATATATATATATATATCACAGAACGGAAACAAAAACTCTATCTGTTTCTTTAACGAAAAAAGTATTGCTCTTACTTGTTTCAACGTGGGTAGACACATAGTTAGCTAAACATTAAATGCATAGTAAACATGAGTGGATGATCAAAATACAGATTATTACTTTTTTTTTTTTAAAAAAAGATTAATAACGGTAGTGCCGATTTTTCCAAAATACAACAAACGCATCTACTATGAACACGACTGATATTTATCCAATGTTATAATTATTGAAAGTTCAAATGTAACATTAAATATTTATCTCTAAAATCACGTACAGAAATCTGTTACAATTGGACGTCGATTCTCGGCACATGGAAAATGACAAGTTTGACCACCAGTTGCCGATAACCTTCTCGTTTGTTATTTAAAATTTCTGAGTTTGTTTCTATAACAGTATCTTTCGCTTTTCTTAAATTTCTAACTTTTAACGTTCCAAGCAGAAAATATAGTGTGTTGTTTGCCTGTACGTACGGTTACGTTAAAAAATGAAATACAAAATCACAGCTATGGAATGTCTAACACGTTGAACGCTATGCTGGTCCCTAAGGATCAGCGGTGAATTTTTCTTTAGTCCTCAGGGTCTGTAGCTATGTTTGATTGTAGCTACAGTACGGGTTTAGCGATCCCGAGGTACCCGAGCTATAGGGGGGCCAGTGGGTCCCAATAAATATGCAAAGAAATGCAAGAGTTACTGTAAACGATATTAAAACAACCACAGTACGAAGAAATTTAAGTAATGCCAGTCTTTGTGGAAAAAAGTAATAAATAAAAAATATAACACACATATATAGCAATATATAGTTGGTAGCCTTTTGGATAAGACCAGTCTAAATCATGATTATCAGCGTTACTGTTACATACCGATTGTGTAACGAACAATAATCTTCAGATAAGTATAATAAATAATAATTTGAGGCACGGTTAATAGGACCCAGCGTGGTGTTTAACGTATTAACAGGTACACGTGAATTATTATTTTCTTTAATGTTTTCGACGACTGTAAGTGATACAAATATCGTGTGTTATTATAATATCAATACTTCTGTGTGTAGTTTACCATTAGGAGTTACATCTATTAAGTGTTTCAACGGGACACTTAACGTGTTGATGTTAATCAAAATGGCGGCTAGAGCAAGACGGAGAGTAGCACAAAATGGTGGATAATATTCAACGTTAGCCTATTTATTTGTTGCAAGTGTTAACTTTCTACTTGAAAACGTTAAGAAGATTGAAAAATAATCAGTAAATAATTCAACTGAGTAACTACGGTTACTGAATTCATTGATTATAATTATATTCGAGAAATGTGCTCCCAGAATAATTCCACTTTCCCTAATGGCGTTTGAAATCACTAATATTTTTGAAAGTATTCATACGCGTGCTTGCCTCGTGTCAAAATGAAAAGTTTTTAAGTAATTTACAGAGAAATATAAAATAATGCATTAGTTCTTACTTATTGATACAGTGTCAGCAAATACTTTTCAATGTTAGTTCCTTAATAAGGTTCTTTCTTCTTTGATGAAGAAATGATGAGCCTGATATAAATATTTATACCGCTTGGATGTTGGCAAATTTTCTGCTTGGAATTTTGTGAAACTACTATCACATACTTACTTATCTATTAAATATTCTATGTAAATAAGGTGTTAGTTAAAAGCGTGTTATAGATTAAAGTAACACGAGACATATGTGAATTCAACAAAACAGAGTGAATGAGAAAAAATTAAGCGTTAATGAAGTGTTTCATATTCGATATTTAGTTTTATGCAAATTACATTTTTTTAGATTTTAAAGCAACAATGTACAGAAATATTTGTCGGTATGATATATGTTATTTTTATTTGATTAAACAGTTGCCAGGTTAGGTGTCAGATATTTTAAATTAATTATCGTCCTTCCTAAGAATTGTTTAAAACTTGATGTTTCCATTTTGGTGTAAAATAATTTTTTAATGACAGGGGAAAACAAAAGTAATTATTTTTGTTAAATAACGCACGAGTACTTTTCTGAAAAGTTAAACGGTTTATTGATCTAACAAGTCGTTATTTTGTATGCTATAATTAATCGTCCTGAGGATCATTAAATGCAATCGTTGTTCGTAAATACCATTCGTGAAAACGTATTTTCACGGATAAGGTAAAATGATATATGACTGTTTAATGATGTCTACTTCTGACATTGATATAAAAGCTGTTATATCATGACGACATTATTAAAAACTGAAGTTTTTAATATTTACAAAAGAAACAGAAAAAGGACTTATAATTACAAATTTGGTAACAAACTGAACACTCAAGTCCTGTAGTTTATCTACAGTCATGCAATAATGAAGATAATTAATTTTAGTGTCTAGAAAAAGCGAAATGCATATAGATAAATATCAAACTTTCACAACGTTTCTTTAGACAAAGTCGAGAAAAATGAAGAAGGTAACAATTATAATATTAAAAATTTTTATAGTTAAGAAAGAAATACATTTTACCTGATCTGTGCTAGGACTCCTTGCTTTATCTTCGTTTTCTCGTTTCGAGTCATCTTGACGTTTAGGACTGCGTAGCGCACGTTGACAGGGATCCGTACTACCACCGATATCCGCTGTATTTAACACAACCAAAGAAATTTTCTGCACGATGTCTATTATCACCAAACCGGATTCGTTCCCATACGCCATTCTGAAATCAAATATTTAACATTTTATAGTAATACTTCTTTCTCATTTAAATTACATAAAATTATCACTTTTTAGTAGCGAGTATATATAGGGTGATTCTTATAAGGTGATCGTCATGATTATCTGGTACTATATTTTTTATCATTAAATGTAGATAGCAAGAGAATGTTTCAAATTTAAAAAAAGAATTAAGCATATTTTATACACTTACAAGCCATAGGAAGAATTCAAACTAAGAGCTGTTATATTTTCGGGTTGTTCTCCACTGGCACCAACCGTTAAACAGATAAGCGTTGCTTGAAAGCCTGCAGCTCTCTTCTGCAAACCACTCTTAACTTTAAGCCCTTGATTTCCTTCCGTATTTTTGGTTTCGCTACTTCCTGAAGTATTGCCAGCCGGGGAATCGTGATCGGGCGAGCATTCCACCTCTTTCCCTACATCTGCTGTCAATGATATCTCCAAAGTCTATATTCAAGAGAAATAATATTTTATTATATTTCTAGAAAAGTGTCGAGCAAAGATAGATTATGAAGCTGACACACACAAAGGTGACGTAATCATCGTATTAAATAAATAGAAAAATATGATATGTGTTCTAACTCTAGTACTAACAAACAAATAATTATTTTTAAAAACAAGTTTCTGTGGGGTCAGTTCAGCGACAAGGCGATCAGTAACTAGTAAATTACTTACCACTACTTCAGACATACTCTCTAATTTTTTGAATTTGAATAAAACAACGTGTCTTCCGCTTCCCGCGATCGCTAATTTCCGACTTTCGGGGCAAAGGAAGATGAGTTGTATCGCCAACGGATCTTCTTCGGAGTCTATACTACGCGTTCTACCTTTTTCAAAAAGTTTTGCTGTCTTCAATTTGTAAAGAACTTGTAAAGTGCCTGCGGATGCGTCCCAAAATTTTATACTACCGTCAGCATGCCTAAAATTAATGTAAAAAATTCAAATTTTTCGGCATGTATCGATTGCTTCCCTTGTGAGAAAGGAAGTTCATGTATATTTGACGTTCAATCTACAAATACTTACCCAGTTACAATAATTTCGTTATAACTACTTGAGCTCGAACTCCATTCACCGCCGGATATCGGCCAATCCTTTTCACTGAACCCTGTCTTTTTTTGTGATTTCGATCCAACTGAATAAAAAGCAGGTACTAGATCCGAAGGACAGTCTGCAAAGTATGCACAACATGTCACGGGAGATTCGTGTATATCCATTGGGTATGGATTCTCGAAACACGGAAATCCAGGAGTTAACAAATCTATCACAACCAAATCGTTTTGTAGTAGAACGACAACAGCATATGGATCTTGGTAATCTGTACAAATGAAAACAGATGTATTCATTATAATTGTTTACACCGTATTACTAAAATCAGGATTATATGTAAATGGAACGGTAGAATTGAAACAGTGCCGCGTAAAGAAAAAAAAAAACCCACATATATTAATGATAAACGTGTAAAATATTAAAGTTCTTAAGGTTTAAGGAAGAAATTTGATAACTGTTTTATATACCACTGGTCCATGGACTTTCACATAGTGTTATGAAGTCTATCACATTGTGCTCCATTTCTAATACAGTAGTGGTTTTCCCGTGTATGACCGTTATGCTTGGAGTTCGTCCAGTCGTATCATACGCTAAACCACCAGAAAATATAACGTATGCTTCCCTAAAGTAACAACAACAATACAATATTAAAAAAGGTCTTATCCGTCCAATACAAATTTGTCGGTATCATCAATAATTTCCAAGAAAATAGAATAGTTTATAACAGTTTGTATTTAGACGCCTCACCCTATATATGTATATAAGCAGGTATGTAAGGGAGGAGTATGTTTTGACAAAAGATGTTTACCAAATTGACCGAGTTTGGGTTCGAGTGCGCGTATCAACAAAAACTATCACAGAGGACTAGCTATTTACGCGTTAATGTAAACATCAGAGCCGAGACAGAGGACAGTGATCGCGCGACTCTCGTCGGTTCCGGTGACATTTCATTATCGATTCCTGATATTCCTGTTATCGGTTAATTTAAGATAAGTGAATCTATTTATTTGATTCAACGAGTATTTTGATTTAATTTAAACACCTGTGTCAGTGGATTGTGTGTGACTCGACGATACAATGGCGAACAAAATATCAGTGTTTAATTATATAATAATTTTCTAGAATTATAAAATTGTATCAAAGTCGACAATCGGCATTTCAAAATTAATTAATCGATTAAAGTAAAAAGAAAAAGTAAAATCAATCGTATCTTACCCCGATCTGGAAAGTTTCCACTCGACTTTTTGAATAGGTTTACACGGTTCTGGTTCGCCGTCTTTAGTAGTTTTTGCTGCAACAAACATGCAAATACAACGATGCAAGACGCGTCAATTTCGAGAAACATGGTCTTTAAATTTCACTATTTAAAAAATTCTATTATCAAGATGCGACTAAATAGATTTTTACCGTGGGGATGCGTAACACTTGTTGCTTTCACTTGACGTACTGTCCATGTTGACAGAGAACCATCGGTGTGACTACACATAAACTGTTTACCCTCGTGATGCCAAGATATCGATCTCAAGGGTACGTCGCTTTGGCATCTGTAATCCGCATTTTTCGTTTTTAAATCCCAAAACACTATCTGACCCGATTCGTATCCTATCAGCATCTGAAAACAGAATTTGAAAGCATGAAAAAGAAGTATTTTCATCGGTGAAATATTAATTTTCCTAAACGCCTATACTAAGGAGAAAAGTTATATACGAGTGTCTGTAATAAAAAGTTATCTCACAATACATTACTATACTTGATTGTGAAATTATAATATAAGTTACGCACACACAACAAGAACAAGTACGAGAATATGGTGCAGAGTGATTGATACAATGTTTAAGGGATTATTTGATACGAATATCGATCGACAATTTTTGTTCGGGACACTTCTGTAATCGTGAATTGATATAAGAAGACATATAAATGAATTCCTTAGAAATTGAGAACTTTGGAAAATTGACTACAGCGTGCATGTTGTTGTTTACATGCATTATGTGATGAATTGTGGAAATGAAATATCGAAAAATTGTTATGACCGATACGATGAAAGCTGCCGAGCATGTGGATGATTTTTACAACATGATTTGATTTAATTTTATTATTATTAAAATGTAAGCAGTATTTGTTCAGTTTTTATTGCTCCGACGTCAAATTGTGTAAGTACATCGTACAAAATAGTTACGAACGTAGGAAATTGTATCGAAAAAAAAAAGAGATAACGAAAAATCACAATGACGATACGCACTCAAGTATAGAACATAGATGCTTAATTTAACCTGAACGTTTCTGTTAAAATAGTCATTATAAGATATTTTTCGTGACCCGGTTCGTCACAGTCGATAGTTCAATTAATAACAACTTTATGTTTTGAATATATCTGGCAATCAAGCGTTTAACGTAGAGTATTTCATTAAAAACAAAAATATAATAAATAATATCGTAATTAATTTTGTCGAAAAAACAGAACTTTTTAAAATGAGACGTCAGGCAATTTAGTAATTCTCACTTTGACAGTCATTACAATTCCGACATATAACAATTTCTTGTTGTATTTCGCATACGCATTTGTTATGTAAACAGAACTTGTGCAATTATCGTTTTATCTACTGTATCGTATTTTTCACAAATATTGTCGGGTATTCATTTTCGCATTCACTTTCAACTCCGAAATTTTAGTGAAACCAATATTTACGTTCTCGTTTAAGGAGGTACTTTTACGCAATATTTTTAATATTCGGAATATTTAATTAACCTTTGCACTCGGAGCCATCACGCTGCAAAGTGAGCAAACAGGAATCTAGTCATATTAAATGGTATTATTATCAAATTATATCGAATAATTATATTTAGCTTGCGGGGTGTTTATGCAAGTTCATATTTTCGCAGATACGGATGAGTTATTGAAATTTAAATGAAAGTATGTCTTATATTTTTGCATTTGTATACATTCTCACAGTGCACGAATATTAATAATAGAAATTTCATAGAGATCTTCAATTTTTCGGAATACAAAGAAACACGAAAATTGGTAAATTGCTATCCCAATACTTTCGACTTTTCTTGGAATAATGCCTCACTCGAGTATTCCTTAATATTGCAATATGTAATTTGTGCATATACAATAAAACATTATTCATCGCGATACACCGAGTAGACTGCCATGTCGTATCTAGCAGTAAAGAAACGAAATTGATAAACTATATGAGGGCTCTAAGTAGTCGAGTGAATTTTATTGCATTTGCATCCTCAATTCTGAAAATAAAGTACTGTTAGGAACATTCTGTATATGTACGTATGTATGCATGTAGATACCAAGATACCAATGGAATTACATATCAATGATGAATTTATGTAATATGCATAAAACGATGAGTGATTACAAGATAAATTTTCGTGAGATACGTAATAAATTTCGCGATTAACAGAACAACGCTATATATTTATTGAATCGGTATAAATGAAATTGGGAATTATAGCAAGAAAAACACGGAAGGAAAAAAAAGATGCACTAAATGTACAAGTAAACAACGTTGTACGTAAAATTACAAATGGATTAATAACATTGACTATTGGATCGCGAAAAAAGAAATAAAGTACCACCCACGCAGAAAAAGAAAATGAAAAAAGCTTTTGCTCATTCATCAGTCGTCAAACGCATTTACGAGTTACTTTTTATATCACGTTGTGGTTGCATTATACGTTCTTTTGTTGAAATGACACACCACAGCTATGACGTAGCATCATTGAGCAATAAAACATATAATATGACCACAGCATTAGACATCAGAACTAATTTCGTATTAATTAATTTTGAAAGAAACATTTTTGTGCTTTTCTTCGGATTGAAATTAATATTGCCATGAAAATATACAATCACCACATTACTAACTGGGCATTATGTATATTTCCTAGACGAATTACAACATTTTTAAATCAAATAATTTTATTATTTTTTTCGATAGCATGTGAAATGTATTTGTGTATAGTAACATAACGCGATCTCGTTAGAAAGAAGTAACTTCATGAAATCCTTTTGAACAGTAATGATAACATGCACGCATGCACACACACACATGCAAGCACACACCTCTGAATTTTGTTATAATATAAACACGGTAAGAAAAGAAAAATATTTTTTTTTTTTTTTTTTTTTTTGAAACATTTTACGATGAACGTCGAAGATATCCTAACATATCCTGATTGAATTTGATCATGTCAAAAGAATTTTCAAGAATCCAAGATAATAATACGATGTTATGGTAAGGATGGAGAATAATGCAAAATAAAATGTACTCAAAAACACGCGTACCTTGCTCAAATCTAAAGGGTTATCACTCAAGTGTACTACAGCACCAGGATGGGTCTTTCTAGATCTGAAAAATATATATACATATATAATATCTGTGTGTGTACGTATGTCCTTCGTGTGATGAGTGACTATGGTATCGTGTTTGTGTACGTATATCCATATATGTATCTATACAAATATGCATTTATATAATATTATTTTACACATCTCATTTTACGTCAATCGATCGGCGTGCAAATTCAAATGATGGGAGTTTTATTATGCTTTAGATTTTTCGCGTGATTCAGAGGTAAGGGGTGGATCCATTACTTTTTCAAATTCTTGTATTTTAGGGAGGACCTTCTTTGTTGACCATCGAATACCTTTCATTCTGTCCTCCGAAAATGTTTCTTTCGGTTACAGGATATTTGTTCTAAATTGCAACGCGCGAGTCATAATTGGCTTCCTACTTTTGGCACCATACTTTTATTAACGTAACACACGCCAATTTAAAAAAAAAAAAAAAAAAAAAAAAAAAAAAAAAAAAAAAAAAAAAAA